TCAAATGCTTTCTCTGCATCCATTGAGAGGATCATACAGTTCTTGTCCTTCGTTTATTAATGTGGTATATCACATTGATTGATTTGCAGATGTTGAACCACCCTTGCAGCCCAGGAATAAATCCCCCTTGGCCATGGTGAATAATCCTTTTAATGTATTGTTGGATCCTATTAGCTAGTAACTTGGTGAGATTTTTGCATCCATATTCATCAGGGATCTCCTTTTTGATGGGGTCTTTGTCCGGTTTTGGGGTCAAGGGAATGCTGGCCTCATAGAAAGAGTTTAGAAGTTTTCCTCCCATTTCTATTTTTTGAAACAGCTTCAGAAGAATAGGTATTAATTCTTCTTTAAATGTTTGGTAGAAATCTGCTGGGAGACATCTGGCCCTGGACTCTTGTTTGTTGGGAGATTTTTGATTACTGCTCCAATTTCTTTGCTGGTTATGGATCTGTTTAGGTTTTCTATTTCTTTCTGTTTCAGTTTTGGTCATTTATATGTTTCTAGGAATGCATCCATTTTCTTCCAAATTGCCTAATTTGTTGGCATATAATTGCTCATAATATTCTCTTATAAATGTTTGTATTTCTTTGGTGTTGGTTGTGAAACAAGAAAAGTCTCAAATGCACAATCTATCCTTACACCTAAAGGAGCTGGAAAAAAAACAGCATATAAAGCCTAAATTGAGCAGGAGAAGAGAAATAATAAAGATTAGAGCACAAATCAATGATATAGAAATTAAAAAAAAACAATAGAAGAGATCAACAAAGTTAGGAGCTGGTTCTTTGAAAGAATTAATAGGATTGAAAACCCCTTGCCCTTTAGTTTTATTGATTGTTTCCTTCACTGTGCAGAAGCTTTTTATCTTGATGAAGTCCCAATAGTTCATTTTTGCTTTTGTTTCCCTTGCCTCCAGAGATGTGTCTAGTAAGAAGTTGCTAAAACTGAGGTCAAAGATGTTGCTGCCTATAATCTCCTCTAGGATTTTGATGGTTTCCTATCTCACATTTTTTAATTTATTTTTGTGTACAGTGTAAGAAAATGGCCCAGTTTCATTCTTCTGCATGTGGCTGTCCAGTTTTCCCAAAACTATTTATTTGTTGAAGCGGCTGTCTTTTTCCATTGGATATGCTTCCCTGCTTTGTCAAAGATTAGTTGACCATATAGTTGTGGTCCATTTCTGAGTTTTCTATTCTGTTCCATTGATCTAGGTGTCTGTTTTTATGCCAGTTCCATACTGTCTTGATGACTACAGCTTTGTAATATTGTTTGAAGTCCAGAATCGTGATGCCTCCAGCTTTGCTTTTCTTTTTCAGGATTGCTTTGGCTATTCGGGGTCTTTTGTGGTTCCATACAAATTTTAGGATTGTTTGTTCCAGTTTTTGAAAAATGTTGATGGTATTTTGATAGGGATTGCATTAAATGTGAGCGATGTTTATAGCAACACGGGCCTACCCCAAGAAGCAAGAAAAGTCTCAAAATCTCAAATTAACAACCTATCCTTATAACCTAAAGGAGCTAGAAACAGAAGAACAAATAAATTCCAAAAAAAGCCAGGAGAAGGAGGGAAATAATTAAGATTAGAGCAGAAATGGATGGAGGGAAAAAAGGACAAAGACCCTAGAAGAGGAAGTGACAACAAATATGACAATAAAATTGACCAATGGAGGGCGCCTGGGTGGCTCAGTTGGTTAAGCGACTGCCTTCGGCTCAGGTCATGATCCTGGAGTCCTGGGATCGAGTCCCACATCGGGCTCTCTGCTCAGCAGGAAGTCTGCTTCTCCCTCTGACCCTCCCCCCTCTCATGTGCTCTCTCTATCTCATTCTCTCTCTCAAATAAATAAATAAAATCTTTAAAAAAATAATAAAATTGACAAATGGAAAGCAATTAGATAAATGCCAGCTGACTTAAGAGAGCACAGAAAGACAAAAGCAAAAGACAACCAAAATCAAAGAAAACCAACACCTATAGAGAAAGTAGTCAACAAGAAGCATCTAAGTATGACAGAGTCCTAGACAATTACAGGAACTGAGTGCACTGGGTACTTCGGGAGTCACCAGGCACTTCTAAGGACAGAAATAATGAGGAGCAGGCTGAACACAGTATAAGAGATTCCCTTCCCCACCCCAATCAGGTGACAATTCCTCCCCTACCCTGGCTGAAGATTGGACATTTATTCTGAGAAGAAACTCAACCACACAAACTTTGGAAAAGAAAAAGTAATTAAGTATGCAATTATGTAATTAAGGAAGGAGTAATTAAGTATAATCTGTGCACTAAATAGTGAGGAGAAATCCCCCACCCCACACAGAGCTGTCTTCCCCTGTTTAACTCCAACAATGGTGGCAACCAAGCTTATTGTGCCCTTATTCCTATAGGAGGGTGTAGAGGATTTCTCCCTGGAGAAATTGAAGATCTCAGAGCAATTGTATATGTATGTATAATTTGAAACAACAATAAAAATCAACCAAATAAAAAGGAAGTATTCTGGAAATCCTAATACAGTAGATGACGTAGATGATCAAAATTGCTTGTGGACACGCAATCCTTTTTATAGTCAGTTCACCCACCTCCACCTTCTTCCTTCTGCAGACCCCTAATCAGCACAACTCCTTGACTTACACCCCCTGCAAAATCAAGCCATCAATGGCCATACCTAAATATGTCTCTCAGCGCCATCTAGGGAATAAAACAAAAAATAAAAGTGGATCTGCCTTCAAGTTACATGAATTGTTTGACAGGCTATGTCACATGCAGGAAGCAGTAACACAAATTAATCACAAATTAGGGGCACCTGAGTGGCTCAGTTGGTTAAGCAGCTGACTCTTGATCTCAGCTCAGGTCTTGATTGCAGGGTTGTGAGTTCAAGTCCCATGTGGAGCCTACTTTAAAAAAAAATTAGGGGTGCCTGGGTGGCTCAGTAGGTTGAGCATACAACTCTTGAAATCAGCTCAGGTCATGATCTCAGGGTCCTGGGATGGAGTCCCACATTGGGCTCCCTGCTCAGTAGGGAGTCCACTTCAGGATTCTTTCTCTCTCCCTCTGCGCCCCCCAAATAGATGAATAAATCTTAAAAAAATTAATCACAATTAAATACTAACTTGTATGGTACAGAATATGTAGAGTTCAGAGACATGTCAGATCAAAGAGAATGTGCCTGGATCAGTGGGAGGCAAAGCAGAAAGTGGTGAAGAAGAGACTGGATGCGGAAATTGGGCTACACCATTGCAGTGCTCTGTAGGTCACGTCAAGGTTTGGGGGTTTTATCATAAGTGTAATGAAAAGCCAATAAAAAGATCCCAGGCTAGGGAGTGACACAATTTTAAGAAGATCACTGGATGAAGCATGGACTAGAGGGAGGCAAAAACCAATAGGAAGAATAGTTAGGAGGCTATTGCAGTGTATATGTAAGAGATTATGGTGGATTGGATCAGGATCTCAGCTGCAGAGATAAGGATGTTTAAAGACCTATTATAGAAGTAGAATCAGTAAGATTTGCTGCTGTCTTCCTTATGTGGAGGACAGAAGGGAGGGACTAGGAGGAAGGAGCTAAGGAATACTCCCAGAATTCTGATTTCGGCAATTGGTGAATGGTGGTTTCACATTCCCAGGTGGAGGAAGACTGGGAAAGGTACAGGTTTTAGAAGGGAAGCAAAAAGTTAGATATTGAACAAATTAAGATGCAGATTCTTGAGATATGCCCCTAGATTTGTCAAGTAATCAGTTGATTCATTATCCTCTCTGTATTCCACCTTCTAGGACACCATGTGGGCTTGGGGCCCAGCAAAGAAATCCACTCTAGAGTCAGTTTAGGGGGTGGGGGGTTGTTGGCATATAGATGGCATTGGAAATCATGAAAATATATGAGACCATTTAGGGCAGTGGTTTTCAAACCTGGGTATGTGTTTACAATGCACTTTTCAAGACCCCATCCCCGATTGTTTCTGATTCAGTAAGTCTTGGTGAGGTCCAGGAGTCTGCTTTATTAAAAGTCAATGCAAAATGTTCTATATGTGGGTAATTTGGGCTAGACTGAAATAGGCTTGAGGACAATCCAAGCTTGAGGAACACCAACCTTTTCCAGAAGCTGGAGAGAAATAGAGAGCGGTTGGTAGGTAGAGGGGAATGTGAGGGCAACCAGAGGGTTATCTCTTCTTCTGTATTATTTGTTTGTTTGTTTTTTAAGGTCAGAGACACTAGGGCAGTGGTTCATAACCTTGGCTACACACTGTAATCACCTGCTGGGCTTTAAAAAAAAAAAATGTTGATGCACAGAATCCACCCAAAATCAGTAAATCAGAATCTCTAGAGGTGGGGGCCCAGATATCAGTATTTTTTTTTTAACTTTAATTTTATTTATCCTCCCTCCTCTCCAAAGCATTGTTTTTATTTCCCCAGTGCCTGGCATTGAGTATGTCCTCAATTCATGGGCGTTGTTGTGTAAAGTACTGCTGGGCAGTTAGCAGATGGTACAACAGAAACCACTGTATGACCTGTAAAGTTCATGTAATCTTCGTGTGAAAAGGATTAGAGTCCAAGAACTGAAGCCCGAGAAGGGAATTAAATACCTAAGGTGTCTCAGCCTTGGTAAGTGGAGAATCAGGATCAGAACCCAGGGTCCCAACTCCCAGGTCAGAGCTACCCTGCCTTTCAACAATCCGCCTTTTAACCACTCCCCACACCTGCTCACCCATCAGGACAGCCGGTCTAATAAACAACACACCGTTTCCTAAATCACGAACTGCGGTCCCTTTCATTAAATCCGTAGGCACTCCCAAACGGCCCTCGGTCCCAGACGCATCCTATTCCCATCACAGCCTCAAGCCCAGTCCCGGGACCTGACCAGTGGGGCCCAAGGTCCCTCCCTGCCCTTGTGCCACTCGGCGGCGGGGGGTTGGGGGGGCTGTGTCGCCATAGCAACCGGGGGACACACAAATCGGCCCGTAGCAACAGGAGAGAAGAGTTCCTAGTACAGTTCTTTTTTTGTATATGCTTTCCTTACCGCTTCCCGTGCCTGGTGCGTGAATTTGAGGGTCTGGTAAGAAAGCTCCATCAGCTCCTGTTTTAGGGCCGGAGAGGTGAAAAGGGCCAGTTAAACTAGCCTGCCCAGTACTTCCAAAGAAAGCGGCTCGGAGAAACCTGACGCTTAACCAGCCCGCCCCTTTCAGGATTGGTCGGAGCCTAGACAGGTCAGCCAATCGCTGGACACAAATGGATTCTTTCTCATGCCAATCAATATTAAAAATAAGCACGTTTAATCCGGAGCGTTTGCACGCCACTGACCAATCAAGAGATGGAGAGGGGATGATTGACAGAACTTGGGGCGGGGCTTGAAATAGTTTGGGTTCGCTGAATTTCTGTCTCTAAAATGCAATTTACTAAATTTATGTATTTGTCCTTGATTTCGGCAGTTGTTTAGGCCTTTGTGACCCAACGCCTACGTTCCCAAGACTACACTTTGACATCCCGTCTTTTCTAGGTCCCCATCTCCCCCCGTATTAAGGTAAAGGTTTGGAAGGAACTTCCTGCTTTACTTTGAAATGTCTGCAAGTGGTCCTTGTAGACTGGAAGGATCTGCTGTGGACTTTGGCCGTCAGAAGCTTTCTGGGATGCAAAGTGTGCATCAACCTTTCCCTTCTCCTCCAACTCCCTCCACGCCAGACCTATGCTCATTAAAAGCCAACAAACATGGACTTGACATTTTCCTCTGCTCCATTTTCCTCATGTGTTAACTACTTTGTGTCTTCGATATCTTTCCCTTCTGTCTCACTTGCTGTTAATCCCATTCTAAACCATCCCCTCTTCATTATCTTCGGGCTTCTTCTTCCATTCTCTACCCTTAGGATACAAAATATCCAAGTTTCCTCAATCTAATACAAAACAAAACAAAACCCAAAAAACCTCTCATCTTCTAATTGCTGAATTGAATCACCTCTCTCCCATTCACTTCAAGCTTTTTGAAAGAACTAGGTGTCCTCTTCTTCCCTTTGTCACCTCCCATCCATTTCTCAAAACATTCTGTCCCTCCTCCTTTGAAGCTGTTCTTACCAGAGTCTTTAATAACTTCCTAATTAGGAAAGCCAATTACAGATTATTTTACACCTTGATCTTATTTAAACTTAGCACCATTTGAACTGTTGACCACTCTCTCATTAGAAATAATAACTACAATTTATTAAACATCTATAGCACCAGACAACGCACTTTTTTGTGGTTATCTACTTTAATCCTAACACCCCATGGAGAAGTCATTAACACTCCCAATTTACAGTTGTGGAAATGGGCCCAAAGAGCCAAATTAGCCAATTTTAAGTTATCCAACAAGATAAAATTAGGATGCAAAACTGTCTCCTGAATGAAGCCAGTGTGCCTTTCCATTACACATGCTGCCACCTTCCCTATCCAGTTTCACCTGTCATTCCTCCAACTCGGGCAACCCCCCACTCCCATCCCCAGATTACATGAATTGTGAACTACTTCTGAGCAGTTTCTTTTGCTTAGAGGATCACTCTCACTTCATTTGCTTAATAAAAGCCTATATTGCCTCCTAAGACACAGCTCAGAAATCACCTTCTAGGACAGTTCAGTGGAGCTTTTCCAATCACTACACTTACCCCAGGTAGAGTTTAGGCAGAGAGAAAATTGGTCCTGATTTCATTGCATACCTTTCCTGTTGCACTTATTACATTGTTTTGTTGACATAATTTTTAAAAAATTTAAAACAGAATTCTCTTTAATATGAACGGACACATGTCAAAGATGCCCCTTAAGTCCTTGAGGGAGCTAGTTAAATGGTAAAGGTGGTTTAAAGAGCATTTTGAGGTACCAGGTATTCACAGGCATTTAAAGAAAACAAAGTTAGAATAAGGGGCGCCTGGGTGGCTCAGTCATTAAGCATCTGCCTTCGGCTCAGTTCATGATTCCAGGGTCCTGGGATCGAGCCCCGCATTGAGCCCCACAGTGAGCCCCACAGTGAGCCCTGCATCGAGCCCCTCATTGAGCCCCGCATGGGGCTCCCTGCTCCCTGCTCAGCGGGAAGCCTGCTTCTCTCTCTCCCACTCCCCCTGCTTGTGTTCCTTCTCTCGCTGTCTCTCTCTCTGTCAAAAAATAAATAGAATCTTTTAAAAAAAAAAAAAGAAAGAAAACAAAGTTAGAATAAGACTGCTGGATTATATACAAAACTGGCCAATGTTCTACAGGGCAATACAACCATAGCCTTTGGAATTTTTTCTAAGGGGAATAGATACATTCCTCTAGTTTTGGCCATTTACATTTCAATTTTAATTAAAATTTAAAAAGTTAAAAATTCAATCCCTCAGTCACACTAGCCCCATCTCTAGTATTTAGTTGTCATATGTAGCTTGTGGCTGATACATTGAGCAACACACATCTAGAATATTTCCATCATCACAGAAAGTCCTATTGGATAGAGATTGGGCCTCCTAAACATTGTTCTAGTGTAACACGGAAAGGTCATGCTATACTGTTTTGCTTTATTTCCAAACTTAATGTAATTTTTTCTAAGGAATCTCCTTCATGTGACCACTGGCTTTCAAACTTTTCTAACCAAGACTCACATTAAGAAATTCATTTTGATCAACTAATATTTGACAAGTCAAGAATACTCAATGGGGGAAAGACAGTCTCTTCAATAAATTGCGTTGGGAAAACTAGATATTCACATTCACAAGAATGAAATGGGACCCCTATCTTATACCATTTACGAAAATTAACTTGAAATGGATTAAAAACTTAAACATAAGACCTGAAACCATAAAACTCCTAGAAGAAAACATAGGAAAAAGTTCTTTAACATCGGTCTTAGCAATGGTTTTTTTTTGGATATGCACCAAAGCACAAGCAACAAAAACAAAAATCAACTATAGCAAACTAGAAAGCTTCTTCACAACAGAAGAAATTATCAATGAAATGAAAAGAGAACCTATGGAATCAAAGAAAATATTTGCAAACCATCTTTCTGTTAAGGGGTTAATATCCAAACTATATAAGGAACTTACACAACTCAATAGCAAAAAACAAACAAACAAAAAAACCCAAACAATCCAATAAAAAAAAAAAAACGGGAGACATACAAATGAACAAGTTCATGAAAAGGTGCTCAACATCTCTAATCATCAGGAAAATGCAAATCAAAAACACAGTGAGATATACCTTACCCCTGTTAGAATGACTACTATTAAAAAGACAACAAATGCAGGCAAGGACACAAAGAAGGGGGAACCCTTATGCACTGTTGGTGGCAATATGAATTGGTACAACCACTATGGAAAACAGTATGGAAGCTCCTCAAAAAATTAAAAAATAGAACTACTATTTGATCTATCACTTCTGGATATATACCCAAAGGGAGAGAAATCACCAGCTTGAAGAGATATCTGTACCCTCAAGTTTATTGCAGCACTATTTACAATAGCCAAGACATGGAAACAACTTGAAAATCCAGATGATTATAGAAATACGTCTCTATATGTGCTGAAAGAAAAAAAAAATACCATTGACTTAGAATTCTACATCCAATGAAAATACTGTTCAGAAATGAAGGTGACTTTGAAAAGGTGGCTGCCAGGAGCTGGAAGGTCAGAAAGGACACTGTGGAAGTGTTCTAGATGAGAATAATAAGGCAGGGACTATAAGGGCTGAGAGAGGAGATTCTCAGATGAGGTCTTTGGAGATCACCCAACCACAGAGTTACTCCTACTGTTAGTTTTCTATTTTTTAAAAAAGATTTTATTTATTTGTCAGAGAGAGAGAGAGCACAAGCAGGGGAAGCAGTAGGCAGAGTCTGGAGAAGTAGCCTCCTGCTGAGCAAGGAGCCCGATGCAGGACTCGATTCCAGGACCCTGGGATCATGACCTGAGCTGAAGGCAGACGCTTAACGGACTGAGCCACCCAGGTATCCCTACAGTGAGTTTTCTAGACCAGAGATCTTATCACACTATTACTTAGAAAACCCTTCATCTTGACATGTATGTCCCCAATCTCATCTCACCCTGTCTTAAAATTAGTTTTGATTAAAGCCACCACTTTAAAAAGAAAAAGCAAACACAAATGCATAAGCTTTCCCTTTAAGAAAGAAACTCAGGTTTGCCTGGCTGGCTCAGTCAGTAGAGCATGTGACTCTTGATCTCAGGATTGTGAGTTCAAGTCCCACATTGGGCACAGAGTTTACTTAAAAGGAAAAAAAAAGAAAGGAACTCAACTTTTCTCACTGAAATTCTCTGCTAGCTAGATTTGCTGGGCTAGGGCAGTGTTTCTCAGACTTGCGACTATTGACATTTTGGGATAGATAATTCTTTGTTGTGGGGGACTGACCTGTGCTTACTAGGATGTTTAGCAGCATCCCTGGCCTCTGTCTGCTAGATTCCAGTAGCACTCCCCCAAATTGGGAAAACCGAAAATGTCTCCAGGCATTGCCGAACGCCAAATGTCCCCGGGGGAGTAAACTCATCCTAAGATTAGAACCTAGGATATACACATAAGCATGCACGCCCTCCATCCCCAACCCAGATAAATTAAAAGAAAAAAATAAGGGCAAAGTTCTGTTCAACAGACCATTTTTTTTTCTTTTTTAAAAATTTTACTTCCAGTGTAGTTAACATACAGTGTTATATTAGTTTCAGGCCTGCAATATAGTGACTCGACAATGCTATATGTTACTCAGTGCTCATCGTGATAAGTGTACTCTTAATCCCCTTCATTTATTTCCCCCATCCACCCCCCAATTCAAGATAAATTTATCTTCACTTCTGAAAGATGTTTCCATGTCCCATTCTATACCCTCTTCCCCTCAGGGTCACATGGACCTTTTCCACAGCTGGCCCCTTGAGACTTTGTTTTTCTTTTTCACGCTCTTTCACATGGGGGCACTTTTCAGCATGTCAGGGAAATTCTGAAAGATCTTGCTGCCACAGATGTGCACCTGGTCCGGCTGTGCCACATGGCATCTCTGGAGGGATTGTGATATTGGACATCTGGCAGTTCCTGTTATCCTCTGCCCCTGAGCTTCCCATGGTGCACCTCACCGGTGTTTGTCTCTCATTTTGTGGCCTTTAGTCTTAAGTAGGACCTGAATTGGCACACCAGTAGACATCTCAACAGGAAGAGA